GAATGAGGAGCTGTGAGCCCCGCTCCCTGCCATTGCCGCCAGTCGCACTCTGCTGGGCATGGCTGCCGGAGCCAGAGCTGGAGCTGGAGCCTGCAGCCAGGGACAGGCTTACGGGCCCTGCACAGGAGGGGAGGGATAAGGAGCTGCAGCCTCCCCCTGAGACATGGCTGCAAGCATGGGCTCTGCCTGGGCATGGCCGCCAGAGCTGGAGCTGGAGCCCACAGCTGGGGATGGGCTATGCTGTTCTAAAGACATTGCATAGCCCGCACCCATCTGTCAAGTTTGTAAAAACGTGTCTAGCTCGTGGGCTATATGCGTGAAAATACAGTACTTTTCCCATTAAAACCCCAGATGATAGACTAAGATATTTGCAATACCATACTTTGTACTCTCCATTCCTTGTGTCTTGTAGGACCTGGTTCCCACAAGCAACAGCAACACTGTAGTGTCTTTAACTCGACTTTTTGAAATGTTGCTATGTAAAACTGTCCAAGAGGATCCTACAAACAAAAACATCCGCTCATGGATTATGGTTGGTCTTTTCCTGGGTTTATTTTTCAAAAGGAAAGAAATTAACTGGTAACAGATCTCCTGTTAAATTCATCTCTTTGCCTTAGCTTTCCTCCAGTGTTCCTTCACACACATTCACTCGTGTGTACATATATTCAAAATGAACCTGCCTGGCAGTGGGAGAGCAAGAGCATATGATAGTGCTTTCTTATTTTTCTTTTGATTGGTACTCAGGGGCAGCAGTGATTAGGTTCTTATAGATACACAAATGGATGTAGTTTAACTGTTTTTCTGTTTGTTTTCCTTTAATTTGGATAATATTACAATTAGATTTATATTTCAATTAGAGCAAGTGATCAATGTGTGTGTTTTATGTTTTGGGGAAAGAATAATTTTCAGGTAACACTAATTCACTCATTTGGTTGTGCAGAAATTTCATGGTATTTGAAAGGCAGCTTCTGGTTGTATGTTAAGCTTAAAAAGTTCTTAAAAGAGTGACATTTCCAATAGAAAGGTCCAAAATTAATATTAAGCTAAAACAATGCTTGGGATTTGCAACTATTTACAAAATGGTTGTACCTATTTGTTTGATGATTTTCATAGAATCCATGCTTGAGATTAATTTCTTACACAGAAGGGCACCCCAAAGCCCTGGTTACTTTGTCCTACATAAAGACTTCTGTGAGTCTGCTAGAAGAGTGGCCATACACAGAGACCTTTATGATGTTGGATTAGCCCTGCATTAAACAGTGCTGAGGCTAGTTTAGAAGATCACACTGATCTGTAAATGCATTCAGGGAGTGATCATGGATCCATGTTGTGCCCCATGCAGCTAATATGGAAGAACTATACCTAACCTTTTAGCCCATAAGGGGAAGTGGGAACTGCAGAAAGGCATCTGGATCTGGTTTTGCTGGAGAGTGGTTGGGGGGGGGGGATATTTTTTCACCTTGTATTCCACTCATGTAGAGTCTGAATATAAGCTCTATGTGGATGGAGTAAGTCACATTCATTTTGGAGACATCTAGAATTTGATCCCATGTTTTATGTATGCTGTAAGGATGAATGTATTTTCCTCTTATGAAGAGTTACTTTTTAAAAATTTTAGCATTAGGATGCACAGTCTACACAACACAACAAAACATTAGAAATATTAGTATTACAATTCTTGTTGCATACAGTGGGTCTAATCCCAAAAAAGCACTGTACCTCTGCAATTTTCAGTGAAATCATTGGGGTTTGCAGATATTTAGCAGCTATTAGGATTCAAGTCCAAGGTTTATAATAAAGATAAAGAATGGGATGGTAGCTGTTTTTTGCTAACTTTTAAAGTTCTGGGAGACAGCAATTTCAAATGAGAAAATTATTACAATAAGCACAACTGTGTTACATTCCTCTTCAATACCAGGATGACTACACAAGAAACACTTGTCGCTTCTGATAAACAGAGTTAGTCTTACATTTTACAGGGCACTTCTGGCCATGTGCCAATAACTTGGGCACTTTAATTACTTTAGCTAAAAATTTTAACTAATGCTTTATATAAAGACTCCAGATTGTAGTTTTATTTTTAATGTAAATGTACAAAATATCTATCCCATACAAGATGTCAACTAGAGTGAGCCTTATCTTCCATTCTTGTGTATAATTTTTCTTCAAGTAGGGGAGGCTCTGAGCATTGACATAACCTTTTCCCTCTTGCTCACTTTGATGTGACTAGTACTAAATGCTTTTAAATATAAAAGTAGATGTCCCTAAATTTATTTGAAGTTAAAAACTGCATTTGAGGTTCCAGAACTTTTTTCTCCTGACATTTCACTAATACTGAAAATGTCCTTATAAAACCTTTGAAACCAAAGGCAACTCTTTAGTGAAGACTATTAAAAGGAAACACATTTTTTTTTTTTTTTGCTGGATCTGTCTTTGATGTTAGATAAATCATTTGTTAGGCTCTAAGTGAGCTCAGTTATTCCAGATAAGCGCCTTCTGCTACTGTGACACAGTCCTCAGTAGGGAGATCTAGGAGGGATTTAGCTTCAGATAACAGAAGGTTGCATCTTCCTTCATCTATGCCTTGCATATTCAGAGGTTTTCACAGGAGCTTGAAAATTAGTTTGGTCACATTACTGTTACTATTGTTTTCTCTTTTTTATATACAAAGAATATACACAGAGTTTTGTTAACCTGAATACAGTGGAAATAAGCAACAGCAGAGTTTCCTTGCTCAGAAATTCCTAAGTCTACCTGTCATAAGTTTTTTGTATGTAAGAAGTTCCCTTTCTGTGCTTCCTTTCAAATTCACATTGACAACAGTTTCTCTGGCTTTTATGTAGCACACATGCACAGAGTTTTCAAACCCTATTCTTAGCCATTGCATTTGAAGTTGGTTAACAACTCAGTCTAGCTCTGCTCAAGTCTTGCCAAGCTACATAGACACCCACCCACCCGATACTGTTATGATAGGTAATTATTAAGCTGCTATATTAATGAAAAATTCCATGGTGGAATATGAGTGAGAAGGATTTTGGGGTGACCATGACCGGTCAGAATCCAATGAGTGTTCAGGGACTGGGGAGCCCAGCTGGCTCACATGCTCCTCCTGTTGTAATGCAATAGGAAAAACATTTAAATGATAAATTGGTATTTGACTCCCTCTACTGACATCTGCAGGGAATGACACACAGGGGCTTAACTTGCTCAAAAGCGCCATTCGTGAACGCTGTGTTGTACAAACCGAACTGCACTGCACAAAAAAAAAAAAAAAAGCGCATTTAAATTCTTTGGTGGTCTACATTAAGTCTCGTGTCATGTACACATGGCCTTTGGCAATAGCTTTAATTGTTTCTAGCTATCTTGCTAAATATGGGTGTTAATTGCTTCTTTCCCTGTCTTTAAGCAGGTCTGTGATTGCCTTTGGCTCAAAAGCTAATTTAATGACAGCCATTAGAACCGTTCAACATAAAAATATTCTGCATTTTTTTTTTTTTTTTATCAGACCAGTCACATTGTCATTTCTTATCCTTTTACATTCTCAGGCTTGCTTTGCTTTCTCTTTGATTTGGTCCATTGGTGGAAGTTGTGACAGTGATAGTCGAGTTATTTTTGATGCTTTCCTGAGGGAAATTGTAGCAGGGAAGTCTGAGTCCAGTCCAGTACCACCAGTTGTGGGTAAATGGGACTGTCCCTTTGATGATAAAGGTTTGGTCTATGACTACATGTATGAGGTATGATTGCTCATTTTATAGTACTTCAAATATATCCTTTAAATGAGGGAAACAAAACTTAGCTGCTTAAAGCTTTTGCGGGGGACAGTTGCTAGAAGTAAGAATATTCTGGGTTTGAGAAGAACTAAACTACTTTATTTAACAATTGCATTATCTTTTTTGGAATCATTAATGTACTGACTGAACAGCTGTTTAGTAAATATCTGCCAGTCTATATTAGATATTTAGAGTGAGCTGTAGTTGAGGTCCGGGGAGGTGCCATTAGGTTTCTGGGTTTTAGACAGAAGGGCGTTCTTACTTAAGTCCAGGAAGCACATGCTTAAACTTTAATCACATTTACAGATACATTTTCCTATGAGGACTGCTTGTATATTTGATATTATATACATGTTTAATAGGGATGTAAATAGTTAAAGGGTTAAAAGACAATTATATTTATACTGTTTACCACCTCCGCTTACAGTTTAGTGACCTCCAGCAGAAGCAGCCCTGGTCCCAGCCCCTTATATCTTCACCATGTTCCTAGCACTGCGTGGGTCCCAGGCTGCTGGTGGGGAACCACAGGAGCAGGAGATGGTGGACACACCTGAATCACTGGGGGCACTGCCCAGCTGCAGAGCTGAAGCTTCCCCTTGCCCCCACAGTCCTGGGTTGGGGCTGGGGCTGTGGACCTCTCCTGTGCCCACATCCTGCTGCCATAGGGAGGAGTTGGAGAAGGGTGCTGGGCCCCTCATAGGGGTCAGGCAGGACCTTCTTGCTGCAGCAGTGAGACTCCAGCCCCATGGTGGGTCTGCCCAGCCCCCTTGCAGCAGCGAGGCCCTGGCAGGGCAATGGGTTCCCTGCACCTCCCGCTGTGCTTGTGCCCAGACATGGGAGGCTCCTCTATACTGCTGGGCTGGGCCCTCCCCAGCTTGCCACGGGGGCAAGGAGGTCCAGGGGAGTGCACTGCGTCCTTTCCCCTGCCACCTGTAGCACTGGGGCCATGCAGGGCCTGGTCCAGGCCCAAGGCAGGGCTGATCATGGGATTGGCTCAGCTGGAGGAGGTGCTGCAGCAGCTGACAAAGGTGGCGCCAAGGGTGAGGGATCACCACTGGCCCCTCAAGTGTCGAGTGCGGTCCAGGGAGTTCCTGAAGGGTGGCAACAAGCCATGCTGGTGCAGCAGGGGTGCTCAGAGGAGGATTGGTGCTATAACAGCAGCCTCCCAGGCTGGAGCTGCTGTGCCGCTGCCCCTCAGGAACGCCCTGGGGCCATGCTCACTGCATGAGGGGCCGGCAGCCAGCTGGTGCTACCTGCTCCAGCTCCCACAGTGCCTCCTCAGGCCGAACCAGCCATGTGCCCAACCCCATCTCAGGACTGAGCCAGTGTACCTCCAGCACCACAGGTGGGAGGGGGAAGGATGTAGCACCACTGGGACTAGGCCCCATTTCCCTGAGCCAAGTTGGGGAGGTCCTGTTCCAGCAGCACAGAGGAGCCTTCCATGTCTGGGCCGTAGTAGCACAGGGGCAGCAGGAGGTGCAGGAAGCCTGTTGCCTTACCTGGCCCCAACACTGCAGGGGGGCTGGGCAGACCCGTTGTGGGGTCAGGAGTCTTGCTGTTGCAGCGGGAAGGCCCCGCCTGACCACTGTGGGGGTTTGGCACCTCCTTCCCCCCAAAACCCTCCCTGTGGCAGTGGGATCCAGGCTCAGGAGAGATCTCCAGCCCCAGTTCCATCTACAGCCCAGCCCCAGCCCTTGCCTGTGGGGGCAAAGGGAAGCCTTGGCTTTGCAGCTGGGCAGTGCCCTCTAACGGCTAGCTGCACCTGCTGCCCCCTGCAAGTAGCTCCCTGCAAGTGGCCTGGGGCTGGAGCACAGGGAAGACCCACGTAAGGGGCTGGGGCTGGGGCTGGGGCTGGGGCTGTTCCTGCCACAGGTCACTAAACTAGGTATGTGCTATCAGTTAACTGTTTAACAGATATAACTGGAGGAGCTTAAACGGATAATTTTAAAAATGATATTTACATCCCTAATGTTTAAGTGTTTTGTTTATGCCTTTAAAGAACCTTGTATAAGGAGGGGTAAAACAGGAGTCTGAATTTTAAATATTCACTTTAATTGAGTGGTACAGCTTGTGAGGTTTGCTTATTACAAATACAGTGAGGAAAATGTTAAGTATCACAGAAGCGTATTCACTTCCTTCACATGTAAAAGAATGAAGTGCTAGAGAAAACATTTTAAATGTACTGTAGTATATCTGTCAGTACTAACCTCTCACACTACTTAAAATCTATATTTCTTCTTAGTTGAAAGGTAGAGGACGGTGGGTACATTGGAATGAAGCCATTAAAAGCATTAAATATGGTGATAAAAAAAGTGTTAAGATTCAAGACATCATTGTTCCAACAATAGACACAGTCAGATATACCTATTTGATGGACTTATGCATCACCTATGGAAAGTAAGAAAATCTATTTCATGTAAAACCATGAATAACTTAATTGTTTGTTTATAAAGCCTTATCTAAAGAGTATTTCCATTCATATCAGTATTTTTCAGATCAGGACCCAAGTTTGTCAATATTAGAATATTCTTGACCCATTTTGTGTATATAAAACAGCCTTCAATGCAACTGGTTACATCCTTTTAATACACTTTTAAAGTATTAGACTTCTTATGGCCCAGCATTATATTATTATTGCTCCATTATATTATTTCTACAGTGTTCTACAATGCTTTTAGAATTACTGCTGAGGTTTTAAACCATCTTACTGCCTTTTCTAATGAAATGGGATGATTATCTTTTCTTAAATTAGTCATGAGCTTAACAGTAGCTATGCCAACAATGAGCAGAGCAAGAGAACGAAATACACAGGAATCGGGGGAAGGTTTCTAAAGCAAGAAACTGTAACATGATTAACTTTTAAAATTATTAGGGGAAATGTCCTTCCCCCTCAGTGTACCTAGAGGCAGAAGAATTATTTTTCCACTCTGTCCCTTCTCCTCTAGATATGACCTCCCTCAAGATACCAGGGATTGTCATAATTTGTCCAGTATCAGACACCCTTTGTTGAGAAGGGCTATGCTTATGTGTCATTAGTGGCATTTTGATTATGGCAGGAGTTTTCATTGCAACTTAAGAGAGTTAAGTGTCCATATCCCATTAGCCTTCAAAGGGAGTTAAACAAGTCCTTTTGGAAATCCCAGATTGATATCTTTAAGTGTTGTCTTTCCAGTGGGTAACATTTTTTTTTTTAGTTTAGAAACATTCAGAAAAGGCTCTTTGATCTACTTTGTCATGGTGTTAAACTTAAAGGATGCCAAAATAGGATTACTTTGTAAATGCATTGAGATGCAGTTCCAACCATATATATTTACTATAGAGGGAATAAGCTGCGCAGTTCTATTCTCATTTACACACCAGTAACCAGGCTTATTTTAAATGCCTTTTCACTTTAGTGGAGTTGTTTGGGTGCATAATGAAGAAAAAAAGTTAATCATCATTGGTCTTTTTAAAAATAAGCTGTATTTACAAGCAGAACAAAATAATGCAGTTTTTTAATTTCTAGTGTTCTAGATGCCTGTAGGTGTGTGGGGACACTGCTCTGACACTGTAATCAGTGCGCTCCAACAGCCTCTGCATCTTGTGTATTCAGTGTCTTCGCACTTCAAAATAGCATGGGGGAGCACTAACTAAAGCACGGGATACTGAATACATGAGACTCTGCAGGTGCTTTAATTAGAGTGGCTCTTGGAGCTGCTTTAATTAAAGTGTTCCCTGTCCCTGGCACATGTGTAAAGATGCCCCTACTGTTTAATTTCTATGTGATATATTTGATTTATAATTTTTTTTTTTTTTTTGCTGTCCATTTTGCTTTTGATAGACTAATATAATTGTATACTGTTTTTGCAAAGACCATTGCTTTTAGTAGGACCAACAGGTACTGGGAAATCTGTCTATGTAAAGGACAAGCTAATGAACAATTTGGAAAAGGAGTGCTACTTTCCATTCTTCATTAATTTTTCAGCACGGACCAGTGCCAATCAAACCCAGGTTGGTAAAAACAGATGATTTGCATTAGATTGTATATACATTTTTGAGCCAAATGTGAGTTTAGGATTTGTTCAGTTGACAAACTTTAGCTCTTCGTTCTAAGATATTTTTATTGTGATGTCTTTTTATGGTAGTACAGTATTGGCTCTTGGAAGGTCAGTGAAATAATGAACCAGGTATCAGTATTTATACTCATTGTACTTTAGCTCTGGAATTCACAGCTCCTTTTGTCAATCTTCATGATGTAATGCAGAGCCTATTTGGTTACCCAAGCTTTTGCCTGAGAGGGTAAATGTGTGGCTTGATTTAATTTGGAAGTTTGAATCTATTAATGCTTAATTGATATTTATCAAACGCATGTTTTTATTGTTATAAGAATTGCCAGAGGGATTTGGTTTTAGAAATCTAAAATTTAAAGAAATAACAATTACTTGTTTTGGAAAAAATATAACACAATAAGAAAATCAAATAATAACTTATTGTTATTCAACACAAATAAACTGGCATTAAAGGGGAGGATGTAGCTACATGGCACACAAAGGTGGGAGGTTCATTTTATTTTTAAAACAAGCTGGTATTTTTTATTTTTTATTTGCCTTTGGATAATAATACATTGCTGAAATGTTGATAAACACTTGGAAATGTCCATATTTACAGCCACATCTTCAGACACTAATATTGTATGAATGATTTTTATATCTAAGTTTTTTGAGCAAAATGTTTTATTTCTTTTATATCTAATCATTCTATCATTACAAAAACTCAGGTGTATGTGTGCGATCTGTTTGACTGGGCAAAATTAATGTCTACAGTAGTCTTCTAGCTAAGGTTCTTTATTTGTACATACACACGACAGCTTTTTGTTGTATAAAAGCTTTGGTCCTGATGCTGTAAAAGGATTTGCATGTGTGACTCGTTTTGCCTGAATAATACCAACGTGGGTGGATCCTTTCGTAGGATTAATGTTGTTTAGCTTTAAAATTGCATGTGCAGCTGTAGATGCTGGTGAAAATTTGACCTAACTGTTTTCTCTGTCACTGGAGGTATTGTATATTTTCTGTAATTATAACATGTTGAAGTACCACCTAAATCTGGAGTAATTACTTGTCAGCAGCCACTTCTTTTTCCCCACAGCTCAGTTTCCCTGTGTGGTCGTGCCCTAAGTTAGTACTGTAATGCATCTTTCATGAGTGGTTTCCTTGACATGATTAAATTTAGGTCCTAAATCTGTAATGAACTACAAATGGATATTCTAAGGGGAGCTTGTGTGGGTACAGGCATATGCCCCAATTTCAAGCAGTGAATTGTGAAATCAAGGTCTGGAAAAATTGAGGGCTTGTTCCAGTGAGATGCTGCCTGTTCTTCTGATCTAACGGAGCCACCTAAGTGCATTATCAGGCTTTTTTAAATGATGGAAGTCGAAGTCAGCTGGCAGGCAAATATGAAATCAGAAATAAATTAAAACATTATCATATTATTTCATTAAGTTCAGCAAATAAATGTAGAATAACACTGAAGAATATGAAAAAATATATTTACATATGTATTTACAAATTCAGCATCTTAATGATAAATGTTTGTGAGAAATTTAAAATACAGTACACTATTTTTAATGTAATATGGTTGGCCTATATATTAAATCCATGTTGTAAATGTTTCTGTTCTGCATTGTAGAATATTATAATGGCCAGGCTAGACAAAAGACGTAAAGGAGTATTTGGCCCTCCGATGGGAAAGAAGTGTGTCATCTTTGTGGATGATATGAATATGCCTGCTTTGGAGAAATATGGAGCTCAGCCTCCTATTGAACTTTTAAGACAGTTTTTTGATCATGGAATTTGGTAATTATTCAAGACAGCTAAAATTTTCAGTAAATTGTTATGTTATTCATTTATTTAAATGTAATTTCCAGAACGAAAGACAAAAAAAATTAAATTGTATAACTTTCCAAATGCCATCTTTTTAGCTTTCATGTATAAATTTCATCCCATGGTTTGTGTATCCAAAGTTAAAACTAATGATTGAAACCTTAGTTATACACAGAGAAATCATGCAGCTGAACTCATGAACCCAAAGGAAGCTTCGCTTTGATTAACTGGAGTCCATAGACATGGTTGTCTTAATTTAAGCTAAAGTAGCATATCTGAAATAATATGTAATGTTAGGTATGTCTAACAACTAAAACCATCTTCTGAGGTTTTAATTGTGTAAATATGGTGTTGCAATCTGTTTTGAAGGTATGATTTAAAGGATACATCTAAAATTACACTGGTTGATGTGCAGCTGATAGCTGCTATGGGACCTCCAGGTGGTGGAAGGAATCCTGTTACATCTCGGTTTCTGCGACATTTCAACATTTGCACCATTAATTCCTTTAGTGATGAAACTATGGTCCGTATCTTCTCTACCATAGTAGCCTTCTACCTCCGAAATAATGAATTCGCCCCTGAATTCTTCACAACTGGAAACCAAATTGTCAGTGGTACTTTAGAGGTAAGAAGAACTTCATGAAAGTTCTTTTTTTTCATTATTTGATCCAAGGTGTAGGGATTTCATATAGATTTTCCTAATTATGTTGGAGTTCCGGAAATTAAATAATCTGTTTCAAAATATAGAGGATTCAGCATATAAAGATCTGAAACTGACATTTTCTATGATTCAGTCTTTCACAAGAGGAAGAAGGGTCTTGTGGTTAAAGTACAGAGCTAGGAGCAAGAGGCGTGGATTTTAATACTAGCTCTGCTACAGGTTTTCTATGTATAGTTCGTTCACACTTGTTGTGTCTTACATTTGTGGATTTAGATTTGTAATATGTCTACCATACAGGCCTACTCTAAGAGTTGCTGAATATTTTCAACGTGCTTTTTTAATTCCTTGTATCAAAGTCTATTGAAAAGTAAAGTATTGTTATTGTAAAAATATGATCCACAGAATGTTTCTTTTTTTGTTCATTGTTTTTCATATTTAAGGTATATAAGAAAGCCATGAAAAACCTGCTGCCCACACCAGCCAAATCCCATTATACATTCAACCTGCGTGACTTTTCACGTGTTATCCAAGGCTGCTTGCTCATTAAGAAAGAATCAGTTGAAAAAAAGCAAACAATGATTCGTCTCTTTGTTCATGAAGTATTTCGAGTATTTTATGACCGCCTTGTAGATGATGCTGATAGTGCCTGGTTGTTCAGGTTGGTGAAAGATATAGTGAAAGAGCATTTCAAAGAAGGATTTGACCAAGTTTTTGCACATCTTAAACAAGGGAGTGCAGCTGTAAGTATTACTTTTAGCATTGTAACATTCCTTTTCCTTATTTTCTGTATCATAATTTAGGGCCAGGCAAATTATTGGCCAGAAAAATGCAATTTCCTGTCAACAGAAACATTTGTGAATTTGAATAAGATTTGCTATTTATTTTTGTCCTAAAATTGAGAAGAAAATGTTTGGAAGAGTTTAACTGTTTCATTTGAATATTTTCCAAATGAAATGTTTCAGTTGTGAGTGTCGTATCTACAGGAGGAAATTTGATGATAAAGATTCTTAATGGACTGTCAAAATTTGGTTTAATGGATAAAGAAACCTTCCCTCTTTGGATCTGGCCTGTAAATTGCTTATTGTATCGTAACTTGTTTTCTGTAATTGTTATTGCATTCTAACTTTTTTGGATGTTTTTCATTATGTAAGTTCCCTTCCTTTTTGTCTTTAACCGGTTAGTTCTTCTCCTACACATAAATTAACCTTATGGCTCTAGTTCAGATTTTCTAAAAGGAGGAAGGATACTACATCCATGCTGGTGTTAATTTATGATGCCCTTGAGGTCTTGGTTATTTTGGTGTATGAGAATATGGGTCAATTTGAGTTAATTGTGTTACAAGAATTAATAAATATGTTTACTACATACAGGTGTATTTACGTGTTAATTAATGCACTGTAGTTACTGTGCATTAAGTTGGTACTTTCATAACCAAGTACTAAATCAATGAGCGGTAACTGGTGCTACTGTGCAGTAGTGCTGATGCATGGCTTTTTAGTGATGCTAACTGCGTAGTAGCTTAATACCACTGCGCAGTAGCGTATTAGCATGGGTTTTGCCCTGCACACTACTGGGCACTGTTAATAGGCTACCACACAGTTAGTGTCTCCATGTAGATGCACCCATAGTAGAGGAGCAATAGAAGCTAGGAATAGATAATACTATGAAGTGATTTTGGCTATTCCCTAATGTAATGCATTTCAGAGCTTCTGTTCATTTTCATGTACATTCAGTGGCAACGTGCCAGTGGACCCCTGTCAGGCCATGCTCCCCGTTTAGCTGGCAGGCAGGGGGGCAGGTGGGAGTGCCAGTACCCACTCTGCAAGCGCTGGCCAGGGAGCGGGGCTGCCAGCAAAAGCATTTTTTGGTGAGTGCGATCAGCTGTGAGGGACCACCCCCATCAGTGGGATCAGCTGCCATGGCCCCACCCCACCCCCAGTTGCTGACTCAAGAGGCACCAGTCACCTATGTGTACATTTATCTATTACCCAACTTGTTTTGGAAAGTTCTGACTTAAGAAACTGATCATTAAACTTCACTTCGTAATCTATTGAAATTTATACTATAGGTGACTGAGGAAGATACTAGGAGTTTAGTATTTGGTGACTATATGACCCCTGACCTTGAAGGAGATGAAAGACTTTATATTGAAATTCCAAGTGTTCAACAGTTCAGTGATGTTGTGGAGCAGTGTTTAGATGAATATAATCAAACCCACAAGACAAGGATGAACCTTGTAATTTTCAGGTGTGTTATTTTGTATTATGTTATTGTATATAAGAAAAGTGCATTAAGTACTTTGTCTATCTTCAAACTGCTGCTAAAAGCAGTATGTGATTAGTAATGGAAACTAATTATGATGTTGATTAAATGCAGCCAACACTGAGAGTGACCATAAAATATATTGTCTATATTGGGCAAACATGCTGAGTGTACCCATCTAAGTAAGATGTGTGGCAGTGCTCACTGAGTGCAGTCCCCCCTTTTTCAAGTTATGGTGATTTTTTTTTTTTCTTTTTTTGTAAAAATATCTATCTATCTAAGAGACATAAGGTTATATAGTATCACACCACAAAAAGAAAAAAACCTTCACCCATTACAAAACTGCACCCGCACACCTGTATAAAGGCCCTCTGGCCACCTGAACCCGTTATGTTATCTGCATCGCAAGCAACACACACAAAACAAATAAGCAAAACCTGGTCCCTCAGACCAGGCAACACTTCCTTTCCATCCCCACCCTGCTTGTGGGGTCACATACTCAGTTCAAGTATCCTCTCCATTGTTGTTGCTCCAGCTCCCACTGGAGGACCTGCTGCTTCTGTCGCTGTCACTATCCTCTGGTCCACTTGTCCCTTCCTCCTCTTCACTGCCACTGCCCTTCTCTCCGCCTGGGGGACATTGGATGGTCCTGTGCTACATGTCTCCGTGCCAGGTGACTTTGGCCATGCCCCCTCCATCCTCCACTACCAATTTCTGGTAGTAGATCTGGAGTTCGCTGAGAGCCAACTTCACGCAGCCTACTACCTCTGCGTCCATTTGCCTGTACAACAAGAGGTTCCTGGCCTTCCACAGGGAGCTCCTGGCACAGGACGCAAACCGGTCAAAACAGGGTGACAGGCTCCTCTAGTGTTTGGTGAGGTGCCCATACAGCGCTGCTTCTCTGGTTCGCCAGCTGACACCAATCACCACTTCGCAGAGCTGCTTCACCCTTTTCCATACCTCCTTGATGCAGGTGCAGAGCCAAAGGAGGTGGTCAGTTGTCTCAGTGGCCCCGTGGCAGTTGGGCCCCTGGCAGCTAGGTCTCCCCAACTGCCCCTCTCTCTGTCTTCAGGCCCTCACTGGTAGAGCTCAGTGAGCTATGAACCAGTTCAGGTCCTTGTGATTTTTGTGCAGATTGTTGCGGTGGATGCGCTCCCACACAGCCTGGCACACATCGCCCAGGAGAAGGTCCACGGGAGATATAGTATCCTTTAGTCTCACCGTCTTCTGGATCTTCCTGTGGCTCCTCATGGTCTCTGGGCCTGTGTTCTGCAGGCCATTCACCAGGGGTGGGCAAAATGTGAACCCCGGGCTGATTGTGGCCCACCAGGCCATTCTATTTGGCCCGTGGGGCCCCTCAAAAATTTAGAAAGCTAATATTTATCTGCCCCTGGCTGGCTGTCATGTGGCCCTCAATGCCTTGCCAAACTCAGTAAGAGGCCCCCCACCCAAAATACTTGCCCTCCCCTGCCGTACACACTGTGGCACTGGTTCAGGGTCTCGTAGAACCACAGTGCATCCAAGATCCACGGTCTGTGGTTGGTTGGGGAGAATACTCCCCAGTGTCTCAGGATGTGCCCTGCGAAGTATCTCATGAGGCAAGTGATTTTGGATTCTGCATCCATCACCAGCTTGCAGATCAGGCTCATATACTCGGCCTACGGAAACAGGAGAATGTCTGTCTGGCATGCCCCTGCCCCTGTCCCTCTTGTCCTTGTACAAGGTCTTCTGGGTGAGTTTTCCCATCTGGAGCCCAGAAGAAAGTACACATAGCCCTCTGGATCCTGTGGGCAACACGCTCGGAAGAAGGGTAGACCAGTGCGGTGTACAGAAGCACTGGCAAGAACACCGCCTTCACAAGCATGATGCAACCCCCCATGGAGAAAGAGCACATGTGCCACAGCCCCAGTTTCTGCTTTATCTTTGCCTCTGTCTTCTTCCATGCTGTCCTGCCGCTCAGCTTAGGTGATTTGCTACATCGCATACATTTTGATTTCCTCTTCACTCCCACAGCTGAGCTGCACCTTTCTTTCCTATTTCCAGTGAGTCCTGTTTCTTCACCAGCCTTAAACATGTGGCAAACATCAAGCCGGGCCCCAAACAGTTCACTCAGGAATCCCTCTGTTAGTCCCTCTTTCAGGCTGGTGCATGTGATTAGTGTGGCCCATGAGGTGAAGCCAGACCAGATTTCCCTGTGCCTTATCTGCATATGATTGCTTTGGAGGATCCCAGAACTTATGACAAGAATGCTCAGTTCCAGTCATGAGTGGGTGCTCATTAGCACATGTATCCTTTGTAGGGGGGTATCTGGAATGCACACATAGTGGGGTCACCGTGTCTTGGAATGCTGTTGACTCTGGTGGATATAGTAAATCATGGGCCTTTTGGCTTTGGATTAATATCATGACTTGATTATGATATATATGGGAAATACTGTTACCACTAAGGCAGTTTTCCCGAGGCAGGGGATGGCTGCTTTTCTGGCATTGGGTAGTACCTGGGCAGAGGTAATGTATAATTACCTGGGATCCTGGTTTTCTGTTTCCCATGGAAAAACAGACAAACCCACAGATTTGCCCTTTGTTATCAGAGAAAACACGGATTTCTCCTTTTAGCAGAGAAAACCACAGATTCCCTGCTTTTGAAAACAGCTCTGCAGGCTGGTCTGCAAGAGCTGTTTGCAAACTGGACAGGAAACCCCCTGCCCTGCCCGGAAGGGAAGGGGAAGGGCAGGGCCTGAGGCATTCATTCAGCCACAGTTCCGCTTAGCTCAGCTTCAATCTTCGCTCCTGGAGCCTGAGGCAAGTGGGGCTTGCTGGGGGCTGGAGACCTCTCTGGCAGGGCTGGGGGTGGGGTTGCAGGTCATGGCTGGGGGGGCACTGGCAGGGCTGGGGGGAGCCAGGAGCCAGCCCTGCCCCCACCCAAGCAGGCAGAGCAGTAGGGGAGCTGGTTCCATGTTGCTTCTGCTGCAGCTGCCTACTGTTGGGGGCAGGGAGCTGCAAACTTGGGTCCCTGGCCCCATAGACCTGGCAGCTGGGGAACCCCTCTGGCAGGACTGGGGGGCAGGGGCTGTGGGTAAGGGCAAGAGGCATGAGTAGGGTGGGGGGCTGTTTTGGGGGCAGCGAGGGACACCAGCAGCATTGGGATGGCTTTGGGGACAAGTGAGCAGCAGGACAGGGGGGTCATTGTGGGGTGAGTGAGGGGCACCAGCAGGGGTAGGGGGTGCTGCAGGGGACTTTTAATTTTAATCATGGATTTTGGGGGGTTTATCAGAGAATTTGTGATTATTTTATCAGAGAAAACCAGGAGCCCTGATAGTTACTCTCCCACTTTCATTTCCAGTGAGAAGATCTTGCTTTATGCCCACTTTATGGAACTGGGAGACTCTTCCCTAGCTTGCTCCTGCAGCCATATGGCTGAGGGCAAGCAAAACCTGGGGGCATCCAAACCCCAAGCCTCAGGGCTTGGGCCTGCACATAAGATGCCTGCCAAATGATTTGGAAACATCTGAAGTCCCAGGTTGGGGTGGAGGATGTTTGCCAGTACTAGGGCCATATATGGTTCTTGAATGACTCATGGTCTTGGAATTGATTTGGGTGATTTGGCTTGGAACATGAACAATTTTCCTTTAAAAAACAAAAAAAAAGCCTTGTTTATGCTATATATAAGTAGGTGCCAAAATGCTAGTTAAAAATGTGTTTATGGAATACCTGTGCTAAAACTTTACCTCCAAAAAAGGTTAAATGAATCAATTCAGGGTGAACTAGGTCTATATGTGCTATGTCTAAATTACTACAGTGATGCTTATTTATTTCAAGGTCAGTTTTTTCAAATTTGTTCCTCACTGCCATGTGCTCAGGGAGAGCAGAGTCTGACAGTGAGGAAGAGGGAAAGAGCCTGCAGGGGAAAGAAGCTCTGGGGAGCAGAGGGCAAAGGGGCTAACTATCCTCCCAGGTTTCTTTTCTTTGCTGGAGCAGTGGCAAGGGGGCAAATTCAAGACAAACCTCCCATAATTAAATTCTATACCTGGAAAATTGTATCAAATTTTATATATTTTCCATATATAGAATCTAATTATTGGGGAGTCATCTTATATTTGAGAAAATATAGGAGTTCAGGGTGCTAGATAATGTGACTGTATTATATTTTAGAAGGTATACCTTGCCTTTCTCTTCCCTTTCACATGTTTAGACCAATCTGTCTTTATCTCTTGGCAGATACTTGGGCAATTGAAGTGATTTGACTGGGAAGCTTATGCAGCTTATTCCTTTAGCTATTTGATGACTGACACAAAGTTTTTATCATTAGGGCCCTTTACTGAGTTGCTTCTTGTGTAAGCGTTCTGTAAACCTCTGCACCAATTCCAGTGCTGTTCTGTTGGTGCATTGCTGCCTCTTCAATTCATGGGGAGTCATACCACTTATTTTGCAGCCAGGGGCATGGTAATAGAGCACTTCAGGTGTCTTTCTACAGTTCTGGAAGCATGAGTTCTAACCCTCCTCTGGGCTCATATACAGTTGATTTAGCGATAAATGGGTATTTGATCATGAAATCAAAGGTAACCAGACATGATGCTAGCCACTTCACTCTGGTATGTCTTAACAACACTACCCCAGTGGACCATTAAGCTTGGATGGACCTTCTATCCTTGCTTGCAGTCTCCAGGCTTTCATTTTACCCTGAGTCTAAGGTGCAGCACAACTATGGCCCATTTTTGCTGCTGTAGCTTATCTATAAGATTTTGGCTATGCAGCCTAATTCATTGATCTGGAAATGTAATGCACATTCAAAAATCCTGACATAGCTTCTGATGTATTTTTTGTCCAGTTAGGACAAGTAAAAATTTATTGTCTTTGAGACGATAATAGAAAAAAGTGATCTCATAAGAATACTTCCCTAATAGATTCATATTATTTTAACATTTCTGAAAATATATGAGTAATGAAACTACCATGCATTAGAACTGGGAAGTTCTTTTCTGTTATTTCCTTCTTTTTGATTGATGTTCCTCTTAATGCAGACCTGTTCTCTTTCCTTTCCCCAATCTCTAGAGGGTGATATGTGTACAGTGGTTATAGTTTTAACAGATATGAATGATCAGTTTGTTGCTGGTCATGTGTTTGTATTTATGTTGGGAAGACACATTTTTCTTTACAAATTTCCTAACTTACTGACAGAACTTAAATGTATTGATTTAGAAAAATCTCATACATACATAAATTTTCTTTGTCGTCATCATGTTTAATATATTTCAACGTTAGGTATGTGTTGGAACATTTGTCTCGTATAAGCCGTATTTTGAAGCAGTCAGGTGGAAATGCCTTACTTGTTGGAATGGGAGGAAGTGGACGTCAGTCCTTGACTCGTCTGGCTACGTTCATAGCAAAAATGTGTGTTTTTCAGCCAGAGATCTCTAAGAGTTATGGTATGAATGAGTGGAGGGATGATCTGAAGGTAAGTATTACCACATATGTGTGTATGTGTTTCTGAATTTTCCAGAGGAGTATTTTAGATAGTACAATGTTTTGCATGACCTGATTTTGTCTTGTAGAACCTGTTGAAGAATGCAGGCGTGAAGGGCTTGAAAACTGTTTTTATAATCACAGACACGCAGATTAAAGAAGAAGCTTTTTTGGAAGATATTGACAGTGTGCTCAATACTGGGGAAGTACCCAACCTTTTTGCACCAGATGAAAAACAAGAGATTATGGAGGTATTCTTATGAATTGATTTATATATTTCTGAAATGCAGTCTTCCTTAGTAAGCTTTAAGAAGGGGACTATACATCAACTAGCCACTGCCACACAATTTTAAAACAAAATGGGTTTTAAACTGAGGGTTTTTTGCTTTGATCTATCATGAAGAATTTAGCATAGTACAAATTTAATAAAGAGAGTGTCTTTGGATAAGTGCTTCTCATTTAATGATTCTTACTGGACATTGTTACAGTCCTTAAGGGTGTTTACAGAAGTTACATTTTTCACCTGATGAGGCCCTTGAAAATGCTATATGTTCACAGCTGCAGAGCACTTTAAAATGGCCAGGTGTGTGACAATTTAACCCGCATCTGATGAAGTGTCAGACAGGGTGCTGTAAAGCAGAGCACCTTAGAGAATCTCTGTACAGGTTCCCTGCGAGTGTTAATTTCAGGCAATTCTGCCCACATCTCATGCAGGTCTGTAGGGCTGCCACAGAGAGAAGGCAAGAGTCTCCTCACTACGCAAGGGAGACGGGGTGGGGGAAGGGAACCCCTACTGGGGTCCTGGTGGCAGCTCTGCTGGGCCCTCAAGGCTGGGTGGGGCTCCCTTTCCACCCCCATGTGAGCATCTTGGTGGTGGCAGAGGCCGTCTCACAGGGAGTTGAGGAGGGGGGACAAGACCCCCCCACCTCACGGGCCCAACCTGGCTACTCCTGCTGGGGTTTTGTGGGGAGCCTGGCCAGGTCTGCGTGGTGGCGGACTCTGTTCCCCCTTCCCCACAGCTCTGGGCATGGCAGACTCGGCTGCTGTCAAGATGCTCGCATGGGGTGGGGGAGGGTGGGGAAGGGAGACCCCCTGCTGCACAGGATTGGCCTGGCTCCCCCCAAGATCCCAGCAGGGGGGGTAACAGGGAGGGGAATATGTGAGGGGGGGCTCCATCCCTTCTCCCCCAGCTGCTGCTGACAGTTGCCAGCTGGCAGAGGGAGGCAGGGCTGGGGAGACAGGTGGTCTGGCAGCCTCCTGGGAGGCTGCTGGTGCACCCCTGCTTTCTGGCCAGGGCTGGTCCAGGCAGGCTCCATGACCCCACTACCCAACTGGCAAATGCTGGTTGGATTCAATGGCACTCTAACTCACAGCACTTTGTATAAAGTAACATGAGTTAGAGTGCCTTCCCAATAGGCTGACTTTACTTGTATACACATCCTTAGTTAATATATCTGTAAAATGGAGTGGCTGATACCTACCTGCCTCTGATTTTGCCCTTGTGCTTCTGCCCACTGTAACACATCACATATTTAATCTGTGCATCTGGCCAATGCTAAATAACTGCAAATGTTCTAAAGACTTAATTATGCTGCACAGGAGATGAATGGCCTGTGTTTCACTTACTGGAAGCCCAGTAAGTTCCCTGGACAACGCAGTCTGCTTCTGTCTTTTTGTTGAATGCTGTGTTAAGAGCAAAATTCTGCTCTCCATTACACTTGCAGCTCACAACGAAGTTCCTGCTTTGGTTTATCAGAGGGCAGAAATAATTCATAAATGTATTTATTCAGTCACAACTTCATAAAACAGGCTTAGGTTTACATTTTCAAACAGTACTCACTACTTTTTGTCATTCAGCATTTTTGAACATCAGCCTTAAAAGTCTTAAGTTGGGCACCTAAAAATAATAAACAATATATTGAAAATTTAGGTTTTAATCTTTTCAAATGTCCATGTTAAGCACACCATCCATGGTGTTTTGTTTCACTCATTCAAATTGTTTTTCAGTACCTACTCAGATATTTTGACTAATTAGCTACATTGTTTGATATGTTTGTGTTTTTCTCCCCAATGTGGTATGTTAATCAGTATGTTGAGTTCAGCACTCCATATATTTTGGTAAGAAGTTAGGTTATAAATTTAATTGATTCAGTGTTTATGGAATTATGTTTTGAGTTTAGCCAAGTACTTAGTAAAGTATGTTGGTTGAATTATAGGTCTGTCTTTCAATTTTATGGTTCCTTTGAACATATTCTTTAATTTAAAATAGTGATGTAGCAGTTAAATGTAGTAATTGTTCTGTAATATGTCAACTAGAGTAAATTCATTATTCATGAAAATATGTTGCATCAAAATAATTTAACTTTGAACCTTTAACTTTACTGGGTTTTTTATAAATTTATTTTAATTGCTAGATTATAACAAATAGCCATGATTTTGTGGAAAAGTAATTTGAATTATGGGGATTTGGATAGTCTTTTCAAAGTGCTTCTTGTGCCTTGCTACATAACAGAAGGTAACTTTTGTTTTGACAGCATGGTAGTAGATGGTAATGGGGACATGTTTTTTCTTTTAGTCAAAATCTCAGGGGTGGGTTTTTTGCCTCAGGAGGGGTTTTTCTGCATATCTTAATGTGACATGTTTTGATGTCTGGAAGTTTAAATTCTCATTTACCTATAGGTAAAGGCAGCATATCTTTTTAATGAAAGGTTTTTGAATGTTGTCTCCAAAAATGTTTTTAGTAAGTGGTTCATTTTTTATGAATTTTTAGTTAGGAGACTGGTAGATCACGTAAAATGTAGATGTGATAAGGAAAAACATCCACTTTAATGACAGTGGCTTTTCTCATAATAAGGATAATAAGTTGTCCCATCTGTTTATAACTCTTTTAATGTTTTTTATGAGTGGTTGAAGATTGATTTTAATTGCACTTTATTCTTATGTTAGTTCTAAAAGCATAAGATACTTTGTTCCTTGAGTTCATTTCAAACAGTAATTTTCAAAAGATGATTTATAATATCTCTTTCAGGAGCAAATTAGTCAGTTTAATATTTATCCTAATCTAAAATTCTCAAGTAGTCAAAAGCAGAGTATGGGGGTGTCAGGGTTATAGACAAATACTAGTGTGCCACCCAACAATATTATTTAGCTTTTGCTCTTCCAAGTTTATTTTATCGTCTTTTTTTTCTTATTTTACCTGTACTGCGTTTTAGATCAGAGGGCTGCTGCTGTAAACAATCCATAAATAGGATCATTAAATCACTTTGAAATAATTAGTTAAATTTTATGTAGTAAATTTCCCCTATCTCAAATGCTATTTCCAGGGTGTTCGTGTAGTAGCTCAAGCTGGCAGTAAACATGAAGAACTCAGTCCTTTGTCCTTGTTTGCTTTCTTTGTGAACCGCTGCAAAGAAAATCTCCATGTAGTAGTTGCATTCAGCCCAATTGGAGATGCCTTCCGCAATCGTTTAAGACAGTTCCCATCCCTCATCAACTGTTGTACTATTGACTGGTTCCAGGTTTGTAGAAATATTTCTGTTCCTGTCTTTACAAATAACTTCAGTTTTCTAATAATCTCTATATTTTCATACCAAATCTTCCTTTACTACCCAGTTGGCAGAACTATCTTTCTTTGAAAATAGTTAAGACAGTTGTGCTTTAACCTTCTGGTCCTGTGGGAGTACAGGGCCAGTCCACAGGCTGGATATGGCACATGGGATTGGTCCACGGGTACAATCTGGTGTGCTGGCCCAGCCGCATTCACTGGCCTGACACCTTGTGTGGTCCAAATCTCTGTGCCAGATCTGGTCACTAATCAACTCAACCCCACTTGCTGGATCTGCCTGCATGCCAGCCTGGCCCTGAACACCAGATGCTGTCACACATTGACCCAACCCTTCACACCAACCCCACTGTAAACCATGATCTAGTCATGTCATCTGCCTGCAGGGCTCCCAACAGGTCCAAAAATTTGGGAGCAGGGAAGTTGCAATTAATGCAAACACTATCCTGCTGCCAAATTTTTGGACTCGTGGGCCAGATGATGGTCTTGTGGGTTGTATCTGAACCACAAGATATCTCAATAAGCCATCTTCACTCAATTGCAAGAGGTGACATGCAGTCCTGTGCAAGTTAAAAAGATTTTAAAATATTTTCAATACAGGATGTTTTATGATGGTTATGACAGTTTTTACTCCCATGAACAATTGTGCTGGCTAATGATCTTTGCTTACTTTTCTGGTGATTGTGCTTTTTTTTTTTTTTTTTTTTAGTCTCTATCATATTATCTGATAAGATTTATCTCAAGGCACTAGAAGTTATTTTAAAATACTTGCTCACATCTTAATGTTGTTACTAGTTAGGGCAGTGAATAATTAGCCTGAGTCTTTTTATATTAAAATCAGTCAATTGAAAATCTAAAATTTTCACAGCTACTGCTGCAAGCTTACAGGAGTCAGTTCCACTTTGGAGGCAAAGGGAAAATGACTGGCCATATTAGAGAGGTTTCACTCTGTGGTATTGTTCAGTAGCGGTCTGTTCTACTAGGGAGGCTAAACACAGAGGTTCTGAAGAAGAATGAATGTCTGGAAAATTGCTTTTAATTGCTGTAAAAAAACAATGCTTATACAACTGGTATTTTCAGCACTTGAACTATAATTGGATCTACTATTCAGTTAACAACAAAACATTGCTTGAGACATACTGAAATGGACTTATGAAAGGGATTATTTATCAGGAATTGTAAATAGAAAACAAAAAAAAGACTTTTTTAATAATTCAATTTCATGTCTTCTCTCATTTTCTCCCTAGCCCTGGCCTGAAGAAGCCCTTGAACGTGTGGCTAATAAGTTCTTAGAAACACTTCAGCTCACAGACAATGAACGTCAAGAAGTTGTACCCATCTGTAAA